TGACTATCCAGAAATGTTGCCTTTTTTTCCATCGATAAAGATTATTCAGATCAGTAAAACTTTTTTTGGAAACTGGTGCCACTTTCTGAATCKGTCACAATGTTTTGGTTTGTTGTATTTTATCAGAACAAAATGGTTCTTGAGGTTGATGTACAGTATTCTTGAAAGCGCTGACGTCCAACCATGCCCTGCAATGCGAACTCCGCATGCCACAATGTACCCTCATCTTCCCCGGCCGMCAGTTTTCCGAGAATGAGACAGTGGAAATGTCAACAGTCGCAGCTAAACAGCCGCACGGTTCCCGATGATGGGGCAATGTGATAAATGCTGTTGAAACATTAATCTAAGACTGATAATTCAAGAACGATACGTTGGTCATAACCGCTACACATTAAAGTGCACCTAATCCCTGTTAAAAATGACTTTTTTTTCTAAAATTAGGGAAGTTTCTAAGAATTTTGGCAAAAAATGACACGATTTTATTCAATTCCTGATTTTTGGCAAATGTTTTAAGTTGGTTTTCGGATGGACAGCCTCGAAAGAATTAAGTATGGAAACGAGTGTGACGTCAACCCAGACACAATAAGACAATAGAGAGTTTTAGATTCACTGCAAACGCCAAACGTCAAATTGGATTTTGTGCTTTGTTTCAAAATTTCAAACAAACGTAAAAACACTTCGAAAGGAATAGTGATGCGTTTATGCACGAAAAAGTGATCTATTTTATATACAATCGCGAAAGAACTGAGCGTTAATACAGAAAAACAGTGATCACGTGATCAGTTTTGACGTTTGGCGTTATGTCGCCGTAAACGCCCATCTAAAACTCTCAGCCACCTTCTCTGCGGCATTTGGTGAGGTTGCAACCATAAACAACACAGCGATTCGGCATTTTTAACTCAAAAATTTATAAAAATCTATAAAAACTCTACTACTACCAACAGTGTTTGCATGAGGGTTTCGCAGTATCTGATACTGGGCTRACGTCACAAGTCACGTGATACTGTAGAATTRCTTGTCCACCACAGGGAGCTCGAATTAACTTTTCTTACATGTTAAAAAAAATTGTAAGAAATCGGGATTTCAAATAAAATCSTGTCATTTTWCGCCAAAGTTMWAAGAAAATTCCMTTATTTTACAAAAAAATGTCATTTTTTAGGTGTTAGGTGCACGTCAATACAGAACTTACTTTTCAAATCTTCATTCTTTGTGACGTCACATTCTATAAACCGTGCGGAGCCTGGGCCATACTCGGCTTGGAGAGCTGCCTGCGCATCAGTTCCTTCCACAGTCAAAACATCAATCAAAACAACCTAAATATTTCAATGAATTTACATGAGTCCGTCAAAGCAATCTTCGAACGAAAACACTTGGCMCGTACTTCCAACTAAGGTAAGATTAGGGCATATATGGCTGCGGACAAAAAAGGCCGACAAATTGGGTCGAAATCCCAATTGAAAGTAACTGGATCAGCCGATCCGAGAGCCAACATTCCACCGTCGCATTGATATCACTATTCTAGAACTCATTAATAATTCATGAGGTATTAGTCCAACGAGCATTCAACTATTGGGTCACATGATGGGCCTTTATATCCGATAAAGTACTGATGCTTTATTAATCAGTTCTATATCGGATGTATAGATTCTCGCCTGCGGCTCGAATCTATATATCCCGATAAAATACGCACTCTCGTTCTATAAACAACACATAAKATCAAAGCCAACAGACCATTCAGTCTCGTGATCGCTGAAAAACCTCTAAACTAAAAACTCTCCTCATTTATTTGTAGTGGTCGATGTATATCAATGTCGACCACTACAAATAGCACGATTCAAATGTCGTATTTAGTACATTGTCGATATTCATAAATTCACAATCAAATCAAACCTCGTCTCACCACT